CCCGAAACGTCAGCCTCTCTGCTCCTATGATGCTGCTTGGCCTGCTGTGTTCATCCAGCCCTGCACCTTGTTGTCTCGGATTCTCCAGCATCCGCAGTTCCTACTATCTCCATCTATTTTCCCTGTTTGTTTGTCTGTCTGTGTGTAGGGGTGTTTATTAGGGAATTTGAGGTTTAGTAAATAGTGTGTTATGAAGCAGAGATTGACCCCTCCACTCCGATAACTAAAACCAAAACACCCAGAGAGGCTCGACTTGTCTCATTATCTGCTATTTGTCTCACCCTCAAACTGTTATAAAGGGAAAGTTAAATGAAACAAACTCCTGACAGTCACTCTATAATCAACAAGTAACAATTTATTTATCTAACTCCAGTGAATGAATTAACAGAACTACTATTCCCAAATAGAACAAAAGTCTAATGGTATGCTCTTCCAACAAATACAAGTCCCACTTACAGAAACCAAATTAAAAAAAGACAACTTAAAGCTTAATTTTGAAATTACAACTAGGATACGTCTTCTGGAATGCCCCACACACTTTCTGCTGATTCTCAGTCAGGAACACCTTTCTCCATCAAATTCTTGTGACAGGAACATTAGCTAAGAGTGCTGTTATACATTTATTTAGATGATGGCTATTCTGAGAGCTTAGAGAATTCTGTGAGAGCCAGTGATTTTCTCTTTAGAACCGCTGGTTGTTAACTCTATTAGATTGCTGTTGCTCTCATACCAATTTTCAAATGCCCTCTTCTTTTATACCCTTGAAGACTATTAATTTCTTACAAAAGGACTGATCCTGGGGAAAGGACCTTGGCTGTTCAACCTATCCACATCCCTCATGATTTTATAAACCACTATAAGGTCACCCCTCAGCCTCCAACATTCCAGGCAAAATAGCCCCAGCCTATTCAGCTTCTCCCTATAGCTCATACCCGCCAATCCTGGCAACATCCTGGTAAAATCTTTTCTGAACCCTTTCAAGTTTCACAACATCTTTCTTATAGTAGGGAAATCATAATTGAACACAGTATTCCAAAAGTGGCCTAACCAATATCCTGTACAGCCGCAACATAACCTCCCATCTCCTTTATTCATTGCACTGACCAATAAAGGCAAGCGTACCAAACACCTTCCTCACTGTCCTGTCTACCTTTGACTCCACTTTCAAAAAACTATGACCCTGCACTCCAAGGTCTCTTTGTTCAGAATACTCCGCAAGACCTTACCATTAAGTGTATAAGTCCTGCCCTGATTTGCCTTTCCAAAATTCAACACCTCACATTTATCTAAACTCCATCTGCAATGGCCTAGTGGTATTATTGCTAGACTGTTAAATCTAGAGACCTGGATAACATTCTGGGGATCTGAGGTTCAAATCCCGCCATGGCAGATGGTGGAATTTGATTTCAATAAAAATATCTGGAATTAAGAATCTAATGACGACCATGAATCCATTGTTAGTTGTCAGAAAACCCATCTGGTTCAGTAATGTCCTTTAGGGAGGGAAACTGCCATCCTTACCTGGTCTGGCCTACATGTGACTTCAGATCCACAGCAATGTGGTTTACTCTAAGCTGCCCTCTGGGCAATTAGGGATGAGCAATAAATGTTGCCTAAACAGCGACGCCCTCACGCCGTTGATGAATAAAGAAAAAAATTATTAATGTACAATGTGAATATTTGTAGTCCCAACACTAACCCAATACTGAACTCCACTAGCGCCAGCTGCCATCTTGAAAAGATGCCCACTCGCTGCCAGTCAGCGACTCCTATCCATGCCAGTACCTTGCCCCAAATACCATGGGCTCTTATGTTATTTAGCAGCCTCCTGTGTGGCACCCTTTCAAGGCCTTCTAGAAATCCAAATAGATCATATCCACTGACTCTCCTTGGTCTAACTTGCTCATTCCTTCCTCAAAGAATTCTAACAGATTTGCTGGGCATGACCTCCTCTTGACAAATCTGTGCTGACTCAGCCCTATTTTACCATGCACTTCCGCAATAAAATGGATTCTATAGTCTTACCAATGACTGAGGGCACACTAACCAACCTATCATTTCCTGTCCTCTGGGAGGGGGACACTGTGAGGGGGCAGGGTCTGGGGGAGCACTGGAGGAGGTGGGGTCAGGGGAGCACTGGGAAGGGGTTGGGGTCAAGGGAGCACTGGGAAGGGGTTGGGGTCAAGGGAGCACTGGGAGGGAATGGGGTCAGGGGGGTGCACTGGCAGGGGGCAGGGCCAGGGGAAGCACTGGGAGGGGGCGTGGTCGAGGAGGCACTGGGCGGAGTCTGGGGACGCTTTGCGGGGCAGGGTCAATGTGGGGGAGGGGGAGGGGGTGTGAGGTCAGTTTGTGATTAGCTGCTGGCTCTGACGTAAGGCGGTGTATCTCTATGGGAACCTGTTTGACGTCAGGGGCGTTGCTTGGAGACCGAGTCTCATTCGTTGCTCTCACTGACGTCAGAAGTACGTCAATGGGGGGATGCCCCAGGAAGCGGGATGCCGGCTCCGAGCCTCCAGATCCCAGGCAGCGGCTCCAGGAGCAGGCACGGCACATCCCGGCTGATCGAGCGGGAGACCCGGCTCGGTGATGGTGATGACCGATTGCCAAGAGGTGCCGGGCCTGCGCCAGAGGCGGCCCCTCCGGGTGGGATTCTATGAGATCGAGAAAACCCTGGGCAAAGGGAACTTCGCGGTGGTGAAGCTGGCGAGGCACCGAGTGACCAGGAGCCGGGTGAGTGAGTGCTCTCTCCCCGCTGTCACATACGGGCTGGCCCCGGGACGGCTGCAATTTGTCTAAAACTGACTGAGTCCACCCTCTTCTCCCTCCAGGTCGCAATTAAAATCATCGACAAGACTCGGCTGGACCCCGGTAATCTGGAAAAGATTTACCGTGAAGTACAAATCATGAAGCTGCTAAACCACCCGCACATCATTAAACTCTATCAGGTACTGTGTGCGGCCTGGGAGTGGAACAGGAACACATGGACAGGGGGCTCATAGAGACCCCACACTTGGATTGCAGCTCACTCTGGAGTCTGGTCCTTGCTGCCAAACGGAGGCAGGCGGACCGATGGTTGAGTGTACATTGCAGGGTTAAAGCTGCTGATGATGCACAGGTTAAAATGGTTTTCTCCTGGGACATGGGAAAATTGAGCATTCCACTTCAGAATGGGCACTCAGCAAACGTTCACAACGTTCAGCCAGTGCCTTTAAGGTCTAGCACAATGTTTGCTTCATCGTTTTATTATTGTATTCTGTTTTAACCAACTTTTGCTCTAATTCAAAATTACGAAAATTCTGTTAACGTTTATCAACTAATTTATCACTCTGTCGGAAATTTACGGAGAATCTGTTGTCCCCTGCCTTTAGTCTGTTACTATTCTGGCATTTTCAAGATTCACATCATTTGCAAACTTGGAATTTTTTCTTCCGAATAACCAGAACCAGGTTATTCATATCTAATAACCAGAGAAGTGCTCCCGACACGAACCTCTGGGGAACTCATCTGTTTCCCTCCAGTCTGCCAAGCAAACATTCTTCAGGAAGAGCTGTGTCAGCTCTGTGCTGTAGCCTGACTCCTGTCCGTGTACTTAAACTCCCAACAAGAGTCAGAAGTAGGGGAAGCAAACCCAGAGCTCTCTGGATGACCAGAGAGACATGATGTATGTACATGTTCCATGTTTTCTTCAAGCACTAACTGGGTGGAATGCAAGGATTCGAGCGGTAAAGAGGGAAATAGAACTGACAAAGATAGAATATGAATATAGGATGGCAGTTAACATGAAAGAGAACCAAAAAATCTCCTACAGGCATGTAAATAATATATGGTAATAAAAAGCAAAGCAGAACCTATTCAAAACAACAGTCAGATATGCTTAAAAGCTCAGAGCAAGGTAAGAATATTTAATGTGTAAATTTTGTGTAAATCCTCATTTTTGGGGGCTGGTAGGAACCTAGTCAACAGGTCCCGAGGCCAAGGCTAATGCTGTGGGGACTTGGTTCAAATCCCACACTGGCAACTGGTGTAATTTACCTGAAATCAGTGCAGAAAATGAAGCTGGTAATTGTGACCATGACAGTTATTAAGTTGAAAAGTTTGTCTTCTTTTGGTCAGAACTAATTCCATAAAAAATATAAATGTTAACAATAAGAAATTTAAGCCCATAACAAGAAAATTGTCATAAGGTGCTACATTCTGTTCATTTTCCTGTCTGGTCTATTGACCGGAAACCTCCTTGGTCAATAAGTAAAGATCTTTGGAAGAAAGTAGAGAATTTGGGAGGGAATATTTGAATCAGAGGATTGACAGAGACAGTGAGAAGAGCATGAGGCAATGGGATTAGTTTTGAGTTTGATACTTTGGGGAGATAGCAGGGCAGTGGGATTAATTTGGGATAGATAAAAGATTTTGGGGAGAGACTGAAGCAATGGAATTAGTTTGGGATAGATACTAGATTTTGGGGCAAGTTCAGGGCAGTGGGATTAGTTTTGGAATTGATACAGGGCTTTTGGGAGAGAGCACAACAGTAGGATTAGTTTGGGATTGACATCATTTTGGGAAGAAAGGGGACAGTGGCATTAGTTTGAAATTGATACAGGGCTATCAGGAGAAAGCAAGGCAATGGGATTAGGTTAGGGATAGTAGGAACTGCAGATGCTGGAGAATCCGAGACAACAAGGTGCAGGACTGGATGAACACAGCAGGCCAAGCAGCATCATAGGAGCAGAAGGGATTAGGTTAGGACTGTTCTAGGGCTATTCGGAGAGGTGAAAGCAGTGGGATTAACTTGGAATTGATAGGGGTATGGGAAGAGCACAGAGCAGTGGATTAGATTGGGATTGATAGAACATAGAACATTACAGCGCAGTACAGGCCCTTCAGCCCTCGATGTTGCGCCGACCTGTGAAACCAATCTGAAGCCCATCTAACCTAAACTATTCCATTATCATCCATATGTTTATCCAATGACCATTTAAATGCCCTTAAAGTGGGCGAGTCTACTATTTTTGCAGGCAGGGCATTCCACGCCCTTACTACTCTCTGAGTAAAGAACCTACCTCTGACATCTGTCCTATATCTATCACCCCTCAATTTAAAGCTATGTCCCCTCGTGCTAGCCATCACCATCTGAGGAAAAAGGCTCCCACTGTCCACCCTATCTAATCCTCTGATCATCTTGTATGTCTCTATCAAGTCACCTCTTAACCTTCTTCTCTCTAACGAAAACAGCCTCAAGACCCTCAGCCTTTCCTCATAAAACCTTCCCTCCATACCAGGCAACATCCTGGTACATCTCCTCTGCACCCTTTCCAATGCTTCCACATCCTTCCTATAATGCGGTGACCAGAACTGTACGCAATACTCCAAGTGCGGCCGCACCAGAGTTTTGTACAGCTGCAACATGACCTCATGGCTCCGAAACTCAATCCCTCTACCAATAAAACCTAACATACTGTACGCCTTCTTAACAACGCTATCAACCTGGGTGGCAACTTTCAGTGATCTATGCACATGGACACCGAGATCTCTCTGCTCATCCACACTACCAAGAATCTTACCATTAGCCCAGTACTCTGTATTCCTGTTACTCCTTCCAAAGTGAATCACCTCACACTTTTCCGCATTAAACTCCATTTGCCACCTCTCAGCCCAGCTCTGCAGCTTATCTATGTTCCTCTGTAACCTACAACATCCTTCTGCACTATCCACAACTCCACCGACTTTGGTGTCATCCGCAAATTTACTAACCCATCCTTCTATGCCCTCATCCAGGTCATTTACGAAAATGACAAACAGCATTGGCCCCAAAACAGATCCTTGAGGTACATCACTAGTAACTGAACTCCAGGATGAACATTTCCCATCAACCACCACCCTCTGTCTTCTTACAGCTAGCCAATTTCTGATCCAAACCGCTAAATCACCCTCAATCCCATGCCTCCGTATTTTCTGCAATAGATACAGAGCTATCAGGCGACAGCAGGGGAGTGAGATTGGTATAGGGCAAATATAGACACAGCAATGCCGTGAGATTAGTTTTGGAATGACACAGGGCTATTGGGAGAGTGGGATCAGTTTGGGATTGATGCAGGGTTATGGCGGATGGTGGGGCAATAGGATTAGAATTGATATGGGGTTATCAGGACAGAGTGGGGCAGTGGGATTAGTTTGTTTTTTTCCCTCATGATTATGTCGGGATCAGAGGCACATGGGATTAGATTTTGACCAAGGCAATTCTGATTAATTTTTCTTATGCAGGGAGTACCTAATATAAAATTCACATCAGTCAAGATTAGCAGAAAAAATTGTCCCCAGTTTAAGAAGTGAAATGTTGCTTTCGACTTTAGTGAGCCCAGACTGAATATCAATTTTTCAGTTGTAAATTTTATTTCTTGTGGTTTTCTTTATGGAAAGAAGAAATTTGCCTTTTCAGATCTGATATTGCTGCATCTCAGCTCAAGCACTTTATTCTCTTCAGTTAAAATCCTTTGCAAAATTCAGTTGCCTGTATTTAACCCTCGGGCAGCGAGAGCTACCATCAGACCTTTCCTCTCCCGTCTTGCCTGACAGGTAAAAAAGCTGCCCACATCTAGAAACTGGGGCTAGGTTTGAAGTGCAACTTTGACAATCGATCAAGTTGCTGTGACGTTCAGGAGGTTCTAGGTGACCTTTCTACATGAATTATACTCACTCAAGTGCCAGTCTCCTTTGTCACTGGGCCAAAAGAAATAATTGAACAGCAGCTTTTCTCCTTCTGAGCTAAGTTGTGACGTTGCCTGATCATCTGGCTCTGGGCCCAGTGTTCAGTATGTCATGCTCCACTGACTTGCTTGAACTTGTCATTTCCTGGAACAGCACCTGCTCTTTTTACAGTTCTTGGTAATTGCTCTTTTCTCTGACGTATTTGGAGCAGTATTATTACTAAAGCAGTCAGCTGCTGTTATGTTGTCTTTAAAATATTTGAGTGTATGTTATTCATTTATAACTAACTTAAGGAAACAGTTTCATTATAAAATGTTGATTGACAAAAAAGTCTTTGTAGATAAATTCAACTTTCTTTCAAATTTCAACATCAAATAATTGTATGAGAGATCTAGATTGTTTTTCTGTTAACTTGCTTAATTTCACTACTCTTGTATGTTACCCTGGGACATTTTTCAGATGTAACCACAAGGCAGGTACAGGACGGGGTTAGATAGAGTAAATTTCCCTCCATATAGTTCCATCAAGCACAGGTACAACGTAGTGTCATATACAGAGTAAAGTTTCCTCTACAATGTCCCCATCAAACACTCCCAGGACAGGGACAGCACAGGGTTAGGTACAGAGTAAAGCTCCTTCTACACTGTCCCCCCATCAATTACTCCCAGGACAGGGACAGCACAGGGTTAGGTACAGGGTAAAACTCCCTCTGCACTACTCCCAGAACAGGGATAGCACACTGTTAGGTACAGAGTAAAACTCTCTCCACACTGTTCCCATCAAAAACTCCCAAGGCAGGGACAGCACAGGGTCAGGTACAGAATAAAGCTCCTTCTACACTGTCCGCATCAAACACTCCCAGGACAGGGACACCACAGGGTTAGATCCAGAGTAAGGTTTCTTCTATACTGTCTCCATCAAGCGGTCCCAGGACTGGGACAGCACACAGTTAGAGTAAAGCTCCATCTACTCTTTTAAACTGAAAGTAAAACCCCTTTCTACACAGGTCCCCATCAAATACTCCAAGTTCAGGTACAGCATCAGGTTAGATACAGAGTAAAGCTCCCTCTGCACTGTCTCTATCAAACAGTCCAGGACAATGACAGTACACAGTTAGGTACAGAGTAAAGTTCACTCTACAGTGTCTCTATCAAACACTCTCACAACAGGGGCAGCACAGACTTAGCTACAGAGTAAGATTTGTTCTATATTAAAATGTTCCAGTTCTAATTTTGGAATTTCTTCCATTCATGTCAGTTTGACTTTCCTTTCCCACACCGTGGGGTAAAGATGATATTTTTGGTCGGGTGCAGGAGGCCGAATAGTAGATGCTTGTCTGTTACATCCCATCTCCATCCCTCACCCCTCCCTCACCGCACCCTTCACACCAAATGAGGAAAGGTCATGGTAACATGGCTGACTCTTAAATGGTGTCTGAAATGGTCTAGTAATCCACTCAGTTGAAGGGCAGCAATAGGTGGCAACAAACACGAGCCTTGTAGCACACCATAAAAGAGTATTAAAAAGTGTATTGTGACCAATTCACATCTGCCCAGTGGGAAACCAACCAACTGTAAGCAACCATGTAGCCAACATCAGAGCCATGTTCTGATGTCTAAATGTAAATACCACACCATAGTAAACTCTTGTGACTGAATTAATTTTATAAGTAATATCATGTTGGATTTTTGTTATGGGTACATTTACATTGTCATATACATAACTTCATGGTGTGAGGGTTCTGAGAGTTGGCATTGCAGGCTGGTACAGCATGCAGTCTTGATGTAATTCTTGTCTACAATTGTAAATTCTCCCACTTTCAGAATCAATCTCTGCCAATAATTTTGAAGGTGTATAAATTGATTAAAAGAACTTTTCCCAGCAGAATCTGCTGATACATTGAACCATGTTCTTGGTGGAGGCTTGATCTGCTATCCTTGTGCTACCTTGTTTTAACTGGTATAAAATCCTCCCAAACCTTTTTAGATCCAGTGCCCAAAAAATCTAGCAGGCAATGTAAAATTGCAAATGATTGGCCTTTTAATAACTCGTTCTACTTGCATATTATTAGAGACAATCTTACTGACATTGGGTTGGAAACTTGATATCGTCACACTAATAAATGCATGTGGGGAGTAACCCAGCCAATTTCTGAGCCTAATATTCACCCCTTCTAATTTGATTTGATTTAATCTGAAACTGCATTAAAATTGCCACATGGTGATTTTTCATGGCTTCTTAAAGATGTTTACAAAGGAGACCAGTCCTAACAGCCAGCTTGTTTCACTGACTGCCCTTGTTTCAGGATCACTGATTCATCTTGGTCCACTCTGTTCTTTTTAAGAGATTCCTTGAGTTAGAACTCAATTTAATGTATGAACAAAGCTAAACTGAAAAACGTAGTACATTTAAACATTTAAATTATAAGATCTTTGACAATATTCTGTCTTTGATCCCAAAGGTTATGGAAACAAAGGACATGTTGTATATTGTGACAGAGTTTGCACAGAATGGTGAAATGTTTGGTGAGTTTGCCATTCCTCTTTGCAAGTATTTTTGACTAAATTGACTGCTGATTCCTGTTTGCTCTGAAATCTTGTAATCCATAGATTACCAATAACAGTAACCACATAATTTACAAATTATCTCCAGAAATAACCACATTATCTGTAATCTATAATTATCAGCAGCAGGAACCATACATTTTGTAATCTACAGATCACCACCAGCTGTAACCACAAATTTGTAATCTACAGATTACCATCAACAGTGATCACATTTTATGTAATCTACAGATTATCTGTCTGCAAACGGCCCATTAAGTGAGAGTGAGGCCTGTGCCAAATTCTGGCAGATCCTGATGGCTGTGGAATATTGTCACAATCATCATATTGTTCACCGAGATTTAAAGAGTGAGAATCTGCTGCTTGATGATAACATGAATATTAAGATTGCAGGTAAGAGGTTTTTCTATTACTCTCAGTGCTGTTTTCTGTCACGTTGATGTGAGAACAATGAATATGTTGAAACTTTTCTCCAATATTCTCTTTCCCCTTTCTACATACTGTTCTGTTGCACTCACATGAAGACCAGCTGGTTCCAAGCCTGCATTCTTGACTGCAGTAAAAGCAGGTGAAAGATGCTCCTAGCTCTGCTGCTCATTATTATTACAGACTTTACCAAACGGTAGACAAGCTCCCCTAAATGATCCTGGTAAAATTGAGGCGGTCAGTTCGGAGGGATCGGTTCAGGGATGCTGGAGGGCATTCGGAAATGCAGGGTCAGTGGAGCGTGTGGTACGGCCAGAGTTTGAGGGTTCAGGGCTTTTCCTTTAATTTGCTCATGGGGTGTGGCCCTCGCCGGCCAACTTTCATCTCAAATGATTCTTGTGAAGGTGATGGTGAGGAGCCTTCTTGTACCACTGCAGCTCATCAGCTGACAGTGATGTAGGGATGAGAGTTACAGTGAAGGAACAGCAATATAGCTGCAAGTCAGGATTGAATGTGTTACAAGAATTCGAGACACATGGTGAAGCACAAATGAAAACATTAATCTTTCCCCGGATAGTAGGTCTATTCGCAGGGAGCAGCTTTACAGAAAATCAATTAACCAAACGAATCTGATAAAAGCAAAAGACTGCAGATTCTGGAAATGTGAATAAAAACAGAAAGTGCTGGAGAAACAAAAAGAGAAATTTCTGGAGAAATCCAGCAGATCTGGCAGCATCGTGAACAGAACAAATGTAACATTTCAGTGCTTTCTTCAAAACTCAATTAGCCAAATTGACAAGTTGACAGCCCTTTAAAGAGCACAGTAACAAAAGCAAAATCTTAAAAGGAATTTATGGAAGTAAAATACCATTCCCAATGCTGATATATATATACCTCAGATCCTGAAGTGCCCACTGTCACAGGACACCTCTCATGAACCAGTGGACACTACGTGCTCCCTTTCCAAGGTGCCCTGGGTGTAAATACAGCTGCAGAAGAGGGGCAGCTGGTCAGGTCAAATGCCCCCATAACCAACAGCTACATCGACCTGGCCAGTTCTGCAGCACTCCCAATCAAACAGATCAACACCAAAGTATTTCTATACTATTTTGATGACCAATAAAAGAAAGGAAATAAAATCAAATGAAATTTAACAAGTGACAACTCCTGAAAAGGGTGCCATAACTTCCACAATAATTTATGAAATTAAATTAAACCACCTTTTTGCAGGGGTACTTGTGCATTCTAGCTCCATGGTGCTCACTTATCATCAAAAGAGACAGTTTACAGTCTTTTTGAAACCAATAGAACGAAGCAATTAACTTTTAAAGAACTAGTCCTTAAAGTCAATAGGCTGAAAGGCCTAACTTTGCTTTGACATCTATCTTGTGGTGTTATGGCAGCGGCACTAAGTCATAAACAACAAAAACACAAGTTGCTGGAAAAGCTCAGCAGGTCTGGCAGCATCTGTGAGGAAAAAATCAGAGTTAACGTTTCGGGTCCAGTGACCCTTCCTCAGAACTGATGGTAGCTGGGAAAACGTTGGTTTATATGCAGAAAATAGGGAAGTGGGTGGGGTAGGGAGTAAATGATAAGATAAAGGATGGAGCCCAAAGAGAGAGAAGAGCAGTTGGGTAGACAAAGGAGTTGATAATGATCTGGCTGGGAGGGTGAATAGCTGTTAAAGGGAACTGTTAGTGTCTAACAATAGGTAGTGTGTAATGGCAGGCTATGTGATAACAAGGCCAGGTGTATGGGGGAGGGGGCTGGGACATGGGAGAGTTTAGGTCCTAAAGTTGTTGAATTCGATGTTGAGTCCGGAGGGCTGTAGGGTCCCCAAGCGGAAAATGAGGTGCTGTTCTTCCTGCTTGCGTTGAGCTTCACTGGAACACTGCAGCAAGCCAGAGACAGAGATGTTGGCCAGTGAACAGGGTGCTGCATTGAAGTGGCAGGCAACAGGTAGTTCAGGGTCTTTTTTGCAAGAAGCGGTCACCTAGTCTATGCTTCATTTCCCCAATGTAGAGGGGACCACATTGTGAGCAGCGAATGCAGTAGACTAGATTCTGGGAAGTGCAGGTGAAGTGTTGCTTCACCTGGAAAGTATGTTTGGGCCCTTGGATACTGGGGAGGGAGGAGATAAATGGGCAGGTGTTGCACCTTCGCCGGTTACAAGGGAAGGTGCTGTAGGGCTGTGAGGGGGGTGAAGGAAGTGTGGACCAGGGTGTCCTGGAGGGAACGGTCCCTGCAGAAGGCGGACAAGGGAGGGGAGGGGAACATGTGTCTGATGGTGGTATCTTGCTGGAGGTGGAGGAAATGGCTTCTGATGATCTCATGGATGTGGATGCTGGTGGGATCGTAGGTAAGGACAAGGGGAACCCTATCGCTGTTGCAGGAGGGAAGTGAGGGGGTGGGTTGGACCCAGTTGAGGGTCCTGTCGACAACGGAGCTGGGGAATCCTTGGTTGAGGAAGAAGGTGGACATTTCGGAGGCTGCCTTGTCGAAGTTGGCCTCATCTGAACATATACGACGGACACGGAGGAACTGAGAGAATGGGATGGAGTCTTTACAGGAAGCAGGGTGTAAGGATGTATCATCCAGGTAGCTGTGGGAGTCAGTGGGTTTGTAATGGATATTAGTGGCCAGTCAATCCCCAGAAATGGAAACAGAAATATTGAGATGGGGAAGAGAGGAGTCAGAGATAGACCAGGTGAAAGTGAGGGCAGAGTGGAAATTGGAAGTGAAATCGATTAACTTTTCCAATTCTGGATGAGAGAGGGAAGCAGCACCCGATGATATCATTGATATATCGGAGAAACAGTTGTGGGTCCGGACTGCGTTAGGACTGGAACAAGGAATGTTCCATGTACCCCATGAAGAGACAGGTATAACTGGGCCCATGTAGGTACCCATGGCAACCCCTCTGACCTGAAGGAAATGAGAGGAGTTAAAAGAGAAGTTGTTGAGGGTGAGGACGAGAATGGTCAAGCGGAGAAGAGTGGTGGTGGGTGGGGCGGTTCAAGTCTTTGCTCCAGGAAGAAGCGGAGAGCCCTAAGACCCTCCTGGTGGGGAATGGACGTATAAAGGGATTGCATGTCCATGGTAAAGAGGAAGCAGCTGGAACCTGCAAACTGGAAGGTTTGAAACTGGCGTAAAACGTCAGATGAATCATAGATGTACGTGGGCAGGGATTGGACCGGGGGGGAGAAGACTGAGTCAAGGTAGGAAGAGATGAGTTCTGTGGGGCATGAGCAGGCTGAAACAATGGGTCTACCTGGACAGTCCTGTTTGTGGATTTTTGGCAGGAGGTAGAAGCGAGCTGTGCGGGGCTGGGAGACTATTAGCTTGGAAGCAGTGGAGGGGGAGATCACCAGATGAAATGAGGTCAGTGATTGTAATTGATACAATGGCCTGATGTGCCATAGTGGGATCATGGTCCAGGGGGAGATATGAGGAGGTATCTGAGAGCTGGCCCTCAGCCTCTTCACTGTAGAGATCAGTATGCCAGACTACAACAGCACCACCCTTATTGGCAGGCTTAATAATAAAGTCAGGGTTAAACTTAAGTGCATGGAATGCAGTCAGTTCGGAGGGAAATAGTTTGGATTTGGTGAGGTGGGGGGGAGGAGCAGAGAATTGAGGCAACTAATATCACATTGACAGTTCTCAATGAACAGAGGGAGGAGTCCAGGTGGAGGGAGAGTGTCGGAACTGGGCAAAGGAGTCTGTGGGACGGGAGAAGACTGTTGTCCAAAGAAATGAGCACGGATGCAAAGATGGCGGAAGAAGAGTTCGGCGTCATGTCATGCCCGACATGGGTGTTGTTATAATGCTCATTCAAAGAGCCAAATTATCCCTTAAATGGGGAACTGTAACAAAAACAATCATCAAAAGAATTTTAGACAACAAGGTGCAGGGCTGGACGAACACAGCAGGCCAAGCAGCATCACAGGAGCAGAGAGGCTGACGTTTCGGGCCTAGACCCAAGAATTTTGTATGTTTCAATGAGGTTGCCTCTCATTCTGCTAAATTCCAATGAGTACAGGCCCAACCAACTCAATGTCTTCTCATGAGACAGTTCCTCTATACCTGGGATCAGCCAAGCAAACTTTCTCTGAACTGCCTCTGATACCAATATATGTTTCCCTTGATGAAGGGACCAAAACTATTCACAGTATTTCAGCTGTGGTCTGACTTGTATTTTGTAGAGTTTTAGTTACCTGCTGAATGTGGATGCTACCTATTAGAGATTTATGGGTGAGGATTCTCACTATCTGCCTTCGTACCTATTTTTGTGTCATGTGCAAACTTGGATATAGTACATTCACTTTCCTCATCCAAGTCATTATTATATATTGTGAATAATTGTGGCCCCAGCACTGATCCTTGTGGTAGTCCACAAGTTACAGGTTTCCAACCTGAAAATGCCCCCTTAACCCAGTTCTCTGTCCTCGATTAGTTAGCCAACCCTCTGTCTATGCTAATATACTACCTCCAACACCATGGGCTCTTATTTTGTTAAGTAGCCTTATGTGCAGTACCGTAACAATCATACGTTTCCCCATAACTCTGAAAATTGTTTCTACTTCAATTATAATCATAGAATCATACAGTACAGAAGAGGCCCTTTTGCCCATCGAGTCTCACTGACAAAAACTCTAAATCTACATTATTTCCAACCACTGTGTGGCTTGGAGGGGAACTTGCAGCTGATGTTGCTTCATGCATTTGTTGCCCTTCTCCTTCAAGATGGCAGATGTAATGGATTAAAACTGGAGTTAAGTCATGGTTTGTAAAAGTTCTGGGTGATGTTTTTGAGAACTCAGCAGGTTTTTGTTTATTGCGTGAGTAAGTTGCTTCTTCTTTCACAGATTTTGGTTTTGGAAATTTTTATAAACATGGTGAGTCATTATCTACCTGGTGTGGAAGCCCACCCTACGCAGCACCAGAAGTCTTTGAAGGGAAAGAGTATGAAGGTCCTCACATTGATATCTGGGTAGGTAAAGTGAAAGAAATTTGCTCACAGACTTGAGACATCTTTAATTCTAATGCACATGAAGAAATGACAGGCATTTTGTTTGTTCCAACAGAGTTTGGGTGTGGTCCTGTATGTTCTAGTTTGTGGATCCCTGCCATTTGATGGGCCAACATTACCGGTCCTCAGGCAGAGGGTGATAGAAGGTCGTTTCCGAATCCCATTCTTCTTATCTGAAGGTACATTTAGCTTCTAAGCACTCATCAGTTTTCAGCATTTCCTTTGTTTTTAATATTCATCAGATTATTACAAACAAATAGCTCTCCAGTGATGTGAAGTTTATGTTCAGTTTGAGTATAATCCTGATCATAATCCCGATTATTTGCTCCAACAGACTGTGAAAATTTAATCCGACGCATGTTGATAGTGGATCCTTTGAAGCGGATTACAGTCTCACAGATTAAACAGCACCGTTGGATGTTGACACAGAAACCACCAACTTACACTCTCAAAGACTACAACTCAAACCTTGGCAATTACAACCAGCAGGTCCTTAGCCTCATGCACACCCTTGGTGTTGACAAACAGAAGACCATTGAGGTAAAGTAGTAGAGATAGTAGGAACTGCAGATGCTGGAGAATTTGAGATAACAAGGTGTAGAGCTGGATGAACACAGCAGGCCAAGCAGCATCAGAGGAGCAGAAAAATTTCTGAAGAAGGGTCTAGGCCCAAAATGTCATCCTTCCTGCTCCTCTGATGCTGCTTGGCCTGCTGTGTTCATCTAGCTGTAGACCTTGTTACCTGAGGTAAAGTAGTAGATGTGGTAGCAGCATCTTGAACCAATGATTTATTGTGAGGGGATATTTTAGGGCTTTATGTTTATATCCATGTATCTACAAATGAAGGAGACAAATAGAAATTGTAATCAATTATAAGTTGAAATCAAAAACCATTTCTTTTAATGATAAAAGTTAAAGTAGAAGTATTTAAATTGTTTTCTGTAATTTTTGATTGTGGCATACTTCTAGAATTGACTATTGAGTACAAGTGATCATAATTCTAAATCTCGTGTTATCTGATGAGATGCTGCAATTTTGAATTTTCCTGATAGTTCATTTCAACACATCTATTAATTTTAATTTTACAGTCATTACAAAACAGCAGTTACAACCACTTTTCTGCAATCTACTACCTTCTTCTAGAAAGAGTTAAAGAACACAGAAGTAACCAGGCAATGAGCTATCAGTCTTCAGCACAATATCAAGTGCCCAGAGCAGCCTGTGAACACTTTCAAACTGAGGTGAGTTATAAATGGTTTAATATTGAATGGCAATAGATTGTGTTTCATAGAAACTGGAGTATGTTTCAGATGATGTACTGGCAGCTACGGTTATTTTCTGAAGTGTAAATGCTAAAGGAGCGAGCGACTTTCAGAAATTACACTAACTAGTCTGAGCTTCACATTCAGTTTCTGTGAAAGTCCCTCTCTACACACACTTCATTGAGAGTTGCTATGAATTCTTCATGTGGTTACTGCATTCTTTTACGAGTCACTACCCTTTACATATATTGAGAGGCCAATCCTGTGAAATTGATAACTCATCTGATACAAATCAGACCCTCCCCCACTTCACAATGGTCTGGAACATTATGTTGCTTGTTCTTTGTAGAGAGGTGATGGTGTATTAGTAATGTGACTGGATTAGTAATTCACAATCCAGGCTAATGATCTGGAGACATATGTTCAAATCTCACCACAGATGGTGACATACAGTTTCGATTGAAAAAACAGCCTCATGGTGTCCGTGTCACCATGTTGATTGTTGTAAAAACCAATCTCGTTCATGAATGCCCTTCAGAGATGGAAATCCCTGGCCTACATTTGACTCAAGACCCTCTGCAATGTAGTTAACTCTTAACTGGCTTTTGGGCAGTTAGGAATGGGCAATAAATGCTGGGCTAACCAACAATGTCAAAAACATGTCATCAAGAATGCAATTTAATTTGTGAAGCTATTGAATGTTGTTAAGTATCTGAGAATAATAAACTTCATTTTATATTTTATTTAATAATTTTTTGAAACTAACTTGGATGCTGAATTCTGGAGAATCTGTTGCTCCATTTAATTTTTTTTTTAGTTTTTATGAAGCAACTTATTTCACAAAAGAAATTACTGTTTTTCCTTTTATTTTCCATGAATTGGTTAAGCAGCCAGTGCTTCTACAAGTGGATGCATCGGTCAATGTCCTGATCAGGAATCGTTCAATATCTCGCTGCAGCTTGCTGGACACCACTATCAGCGAAGAGGCAAGACAGGAACAAGATCTAGAGGAAAATATAATGGAGAAAATCCAGACCCCATTGCACACTCTAAGCAGTGCAAACCGGCGACACACAGTGGCTGGTGTGTCAGCTCACTTGAACAACGAGACTGCTCCCTGTAAGTTTTCACTAAAATATAATGTAGCTTCAGTCAGGCCCTGAGTGTGAATCACTGTATGTCAATGGCCTGAGACTACTCTCATCTGGAGAATAGGTAGAACTGGGCAACAGGTTAGACTGTCTCAGAATCGCAATGTTTTGAGGGAGATCCAACATCTAGAAACACTAGCTGGGAACTCTGAGGTTCCAGTAACAGCGGAGAAAGGTCTGGGAGCACTGGGGAGTGGATTGCTGAATTTTAGAGCATTGGGCATTGCTTGGGCATCAGGTGCAGCAGATGATGCAGGCTAGACTATGCCAGTCCTGAGCATTTCCTGTGGTGATGATTCCTGCATGCAGCGGTTCATGAGGGAGCTGTGGTATCAGGTGGGGTCAAAGTCAACCTTCCTTCTAAACTGCACAGCTACTGGGAAGCTCCATGCATATCAGTCAATATACCAATGAATGACTGCCACTTCCAGAAGCTGCTGCCGTGCAGAAACTTCAGAAGTCCACACAACAGGGAACATTAGTCAGAGTCTATGAATGTGAACAGTCTACCACAGCGGAAGACGCAAGATAGATACCAAAACTAGAGGGTGATGTGAGTGCTGAAAGGAAAGGAAATGAAGGTAATTAATGCCAGCAGAGAAAAAGTATTACAAAAACTTCAGTGGACTAAAATCTGACAAATTCACAGTATGAGACAACCAACATCCCCAGCATTCTAAAGGACAGAACTCTAGAAATAGTGGATGTGTTGATTATGATTTTCCAAAATTCCTTAGATCCTGGAACAATCTCAGCAGATTGCAAGTTAGCAAATGTAACTCTAACAAACATTGCCACTCAAGAAATGACCAAGAGAGGAAACGATGTTGATCTGACATCAATCATCAGAAAAGAACAAGAATATATTATTACAGAAATCTTAACAATGTACTTTGAAAAGAAAATCATGTTTGACCAAGATAGGTAAGATAAGGGCTCATGAAGTTGGGATAATATATGAGCATGAATAATTGATGGATAAATAATTGTAATTGATTAATAGAAAGGAAATAGCCGGTGGCCATAAATGGGACACATTCTGGTTGGCAGGGTGAGAATAAGTGGACTGCTGCAAGGATCAGTGATGGAGCCTCAGCAGTTTACAGTTGAATTGTTACCCTCACTGGGTTAACACACTGGAAATCAAGGCCCACTATTCCCAGAGTCATCATAAATATTAAAGACTTTTAAAAGTACACAGAATTCAGACACAGGTTGAAGCACAGAACAGGTTTCTGTACTGAGCAAGAATTACTTTTGGTACAAGAAAATGAACTGTAGCTACAGGTAAGCAATTATGAATTGCCAACATAGTACTCTACTAATTAAAATTCTAATCCCTTATCAACTTCCCCTTACACACACACAGACAGGAAAAATGACATGGGTGTTATGGGCAGAGGAAAAGACTGGGAAAGCATTTCAATGCTTCCTGTTCACAGAATCTGCTGAAATGATTCTTGTGCTAATTCAAACACTGCTTCTCAGATTTCCTTCTACAGATGTTTTTACAGGTTCACATTTCAGTGAGTGGACAACAATGTGGCAGGTGGATTGCACTGTAAGGTGGATTGTATGGAAGTGGGGGGGCTAGTATGTACAGACAAATAGAATACTCTTTGAAAGGCATGAAGTTTTTAAACTGTTTTGTTTCCATATTCTTTCAGGGAATGTGAGTGATTGTTGTCCATCCCTAATTGCCCATGAACTAAGTGGCCATTGCTATGTGTCTGGAGTCACATGTAGGCCACATTAGATAAGGGTGATAGATTTCCTTCCTTAAAGGATGTGAGTGAACCAGATGGTTTTTTACAACAGTTAACAAAGGTTTCATGATTACCATTATGGAGATCAGCATTCAATTCAAGATTTATTTGATTAAATGTCACCTGCTTCCTCCCACAGCATTTGTCCAGGTTCTGAATTACTAGTCTAGTACCATTATCACTGTGCCACATCTCCACAGAGTTAAAGGGACTTTGGTATACTGTTGTGATCTTCATGCACCTTTAATGGAATGTCTCTTGTCCATCATTATCCACTAGAAGACAAAGTATAACTTATAATCTCATTAATCTGCCATGGCAAGACTCAGACCTGGGTCCCTAGAACATTACCTGGGTGTATTGATTAACAGTCCAGCAATAATACCACTAGGCCATTACCTCCTTATACATAGTCTGCCTTTCTTTCACTAATTGTTGTACCATTAGTGTATTTGTGATAAATAGAAGGATGCAACCATACAAGGAGTGCAAGAAGTTACCAGGCACATACAACAAGCAGTTAGGAAGGCAAATGCATGTCAGCCTTTATTGCAATGAGATTGAAGTACAAGAATAAGGAAATCTTGCTACAATTGTACAGGGCTTTGGTGAGACCACACTTGGGATTCTGTTGAAGGTTTTGATTCTCAGATTTATAAAAGAAGGCAGCACAGCAGAGGTTCCCTGGAATGGCCCCTTTGGTTGAAATGATCGTCATGTGACAGTAGGCTGAGTAAATTGGGTCTGTATTCTCTGGTATTTAAAAGATTGAGAAGTGATCTCACCAAGACAAAGAGACTTCTGAAGGGGCTTGACGTAAGCACTGAGGTTGATTTCAGACGTACACATGGAGTGATTCTCTCTCTGACCTCAAAACACACCACAATCCCACTGCCTCCCACACACACTTTGAAAATGGTAATTGGCTAACTCTTGTGAACACTGATTTCAGTAATTACCCCATTGTGTAATGAGGTATTTCCTCTTGACCAAAATCTTGAATTTGCCAAGTTTTTCTAAATACCGTACCCAAATTTCATTTTCCACAGGTACAGCAATCTCCTCACAAGCCAGGATACCAGACGATGCATATTCCAATAGCTGCCTAATGACCTCATCCGATGATGGATTCCACTCCCCAAACATCATGAGGTTCACAGATGAGGCAATGGCTCCACAATTTGTATACACCACTTCTGCAACTCCAATACTGCAGCCACAGGAACATGGAGCTGGAATCTGTGACACTCAGCTGCCACTCACCTTCCAGGAAGGACGAAGAGCCTCTGACACCTCACTAACTGCAGGTAAATCCCACAACTGTAACTCCTCTGTGGAAAGCAACTCTGCAGCGAAGCCAGTTAATTAAAGGTGTTACTGAATTCTGTTGGTTGTTTTCCAGGTCTGAAACCTTTCCGACAACAGCTGCGTAAAAGCACCAGAGCAAAAGGATTCTTTGGGCTTAACAAAATCACTGGAATCACTCAACATATCTGGAGGTCTCCATCCTGCTCTGGCTCACGGAATCGAGCAGCTCAGCAGCACCCTCGTGGCAACCTACAGCAGGTCAATCTCAAACCAGTCCAACAATTTATCTAATCTTTCCATCACAACACTATACAGACAGCAGCTGTGATTGTTACTGATGTAACTGTGTTTGTCACTCAGGTTGAGAACATTTTGCCAAATCCTGTCCCCAGGATCTCAACAGAAGGCAGCAATCTATTGGACAAAGTTTTGCACCAACAAAAGTGAGTTTCCATCAAAGGCCATTGGAAATTTTCTCATCAATTTATTTCAGACCAGAAATTAATGGCATAGCTTTCACTTATATAAAGGCAATCAATTAGACAGAGGTCACTGTCCAAACATTGTTTTATCTAAGAGTTAAAAAATCTAGACATGTTTGGGAATTTAGAAAATGTGCAGGAAATGCCTCACAGTCAGTTGTTGGAAATTAAAGAAATAATTGCCAGCAGTTGTAGAAATTATCCTGAGAGTTCTCACTTCATACTACAGTCTCACTTCACATCACAGTAATAGCCTGATGATCATAGTCTAAATATACAAAACATGTCTGTGTGGAAGGGTAACTTTTAGCATTCAACAGGAATAGGTTTGGATTCAAATTTCAAACTTCTGTTGCTCTGAGAGTAATGGGCTGGAGAGGGATCATAAAACATTCCAGATCATCTCCCTAATTCCTTATTTCCTATTTTGCAGAATGCTGCAGCTGAGATGCCTGAACAGTTGCCAGCCTAAATGCTTTGCGGAGCCCGAATCTATGAAGACCCCTGTGCTCCAGAGTGTAATGGAATTAGCACATGATTTTAAACCTGCTTCTCATTTAACGCCCTCTTTGTTTCTGTCAGACTTCACACAGACAGACTCTGAGGCAGCAGTCTGCACAGCCCAGTCACAGCTGCACTGTTTACTGGGTGTCAACCTGATGCAGGGTCCTCTCAGCACCAGCCCCATGGATTTACACCCCACCTTCTCCACGTTCCTCCATCAAACCCTGTTCTCATCACAAAAGCAAAGTGAGGGACTAGGAATGGACTGTGAAATGGAGGATCTGACAAGAACACAACTTGACCAAATTGTGTGGGTGAATTAACCTGCTGAACTCTATGAACGCTGAAACCTCTGAAGCAATAAAACCTTCGATCTGTGATATTCTGATAATTAACTGCAAGCGACAAAACCCAATCAATGGCATCAATTCTCCCACTTTTTTTTATTATTTCAGAAATATTTCTATGCCTGGAAAAGCCCAATAACCAAAGGATGGTTCCACTCCATCCCTTCATCATTGTTATAAGCTGCAATTGGAGATTCTTGTGGCACAGTGGTAGTGTCCCTACCTCTGGGCCAGGAGGCTTGGGTTCAAGTTCCAGTTGCTCCAGAGGTGTATCATAACATTTCTGAATAGGTTGATTTTAAAAAACATTATAAGCTGCAATTGAAGCATAAGTCACTTTAATTATTAATTCACACCAAAAGTAAACTCAGGCCTGTTGGAGGAAGTCATTATTGAATATCGAGAGTGTCTCTCCATTGTCAATTGGTGAAGTGATTCAATGGCCAGAATTACCTCAAAAATTAGTCGAAGCTAGTACTGGTGAGTGGACCCACTTATTGCAATCTGCTGGGATTGAATTGTGTGCTGGCACAACCCTGAATATCACAATCCACCCAGGAATCCTCTCTTCAGGAAGGGAAACTGCTACATTTCTGGATACATTGATCACCATCAGTTATAAGATTTTTGGGATTTTAATATTCTGTTTGCAACTGGGAAATTCTGCTGGCTGCAAAACAAAACCTCGTTGTATTCCTGAATTGTTCACTGGCTGTGTACTGGTGTTTGAATTTCCAATGATTACCCTGGCATCAGGAAATATTTTGGTGTAAAGAATCCAGATGAGATTGGAATTCTGCTGATTGTATGATTTTTAAAAATTAATATCTGGGTCCAAATAGGAATGAATCCACTTTAGGGACTGTGCAATAATCTGTTCCAGTTTGTACCCGCTGTAAAGGAGAAATGAACAACTTTGTAGTACCTTATTAAATTATGAGTAAAGTACTAAAATATTATTAAAAGTTGTTGTATTTTTTAACAGAATTCCTGAATTAATTCACTGTAATTACCAGGATTTTACAGTGTGTTTTAAAAATCCTATTTCTTCCAAGTTCAGATTAATTTGAGCCTTCCTCAGTATTTGGCTACCCTGTATTTTAGTAATTGATCATTGTTGCATTTTCTTACAGGTGTGTATGCCAGTGGGTTAGGCAACCATTGTGATGATAGTCATAACATTCATATCAGTGACCTTTTAGCAAACTGACTTACACATTAATCTAATTTCTCAATACAGTATGACAAAAAAAATGTAGACCCTTTTACTGAAGAAATAGAGGAGGCAAACCTGCAGATACTGCAAACTTGCCTTTAGAGGTTAAAACTGAAGGACTAAGCTGCTGTGCATCTGTCATTGTCTAAGGTCAGAGGTTTTGTTATAATTGGACTGGAACTTATTTCTTTTGACCTCCTAATACCCACACTGAATGCTGCCTCCATCATTGACCTAAGCCAAACTCCTTCAGAGATACCCACAGCTCCGTAGAAATAAAGCACAGTATGTCACTCATTTGGCCTCTACCAGGTTCATCCATTTTCTTCTTCGAGACAGTTTAAATATTTTTACATTAAAGTTTTCTTTACGAATTATAGTATCCTCCCTACAACGTGCTTCTGTCAAATACGTATTTATTCTCATTCAAGTCCACAGTGAAATTGCACTGTAAAATATTCAGGGGTGTATTGTCACTGGGTTAGTAATCCAGAGACCCAGGCTAATGCTCTTGGTAGAGGCGTTTAAACCCGACCATGGAAAATCATGATGTTTGCGTTCAACAAAAATCTGGAATTAAAGACCAACCTATTGATGACCTTGTAAGCATTGTTGATTGTAAAAACCCATCTAATTTAGGGAAGGAAATCTGCCATCCTTATTCGGTCTGGCCTACACATGACTCCAGATCGACAGCAATGTGGTTGACTGTTGGCTCTCAGCAGTTGATCAGTTAGTGGGAAACTAACGATGGGCAATGCTTGCCAGTGACACTCACACCCCATATAAGAAAATCGAGTTTGAATTTGCTACAGTGTGATTGGATGGTGTAGGTTTGAATTTTAGGAAATGGTAGAATCTGAACTGCTTGATCCACTTCACTCAATGCATTATTATTGGTTTTGTTAAATTGATTAATATTTAGATGTTTCAATTTATTTATGCATTTATTTATTGATTTTTAAACAAATAAAACTGGTTTCCAAGTTCATGTTCCATCATTCTGTGTAATGCTGCCTGCTCTCGACGCATGAAAGTGCAGGTTTACACCAACCTTATGGCCAAGTCTGCTTCATTCCCAAGTCTCACTCAACTTGACACTGTTTGATAACTGACAACTGGAGCTCAGAAACCATCCACAAACTGATGTAAATCATTACCAGCTTATCACACACGCCCATTACTATTAGCTCACACTCAGACGAACTTCTGAAAACATTTTACTTCGTTTCTTTTAGTAACGTGATGATTGTCTGTCTGTCTGTGTATGTACGTATACATGTATGTATCTCCGTGTCTGTCTGTTTTCTCTCTCTCTCTCTCTCAGAATAAAGAATTTTCCATTCTTCCACCTTCTCACCATAAACACATACATTGTTCCTTTTCAGATAAGAGTCTTTCTATCTCCCTCAAGCCTTGCCTTAGTTGGTTAGAGTAGGCAGGAAAGTCAAGTTCAGGCCATAATCATATCAGCCATAATTTTATTAAATGGTTGGGTAGGCTAGTCCTGTTCCTATTTCTTGTATTCTTCCTAGAATCCTTACATGTGGCCCATCAAGTCCACACTGACCCTCTGAAGAGCATCCCACCCAAACCCAGCCCCCTACCCTATCCCTGTAATCCTGCATTTCCCATGGCTAACCCACTTAACCTGCACATCTTTGAACTGCAGGAGGAAACCAGAGCACCTGCAGGAAACCTGCACCGACATAGGGAGAATGTGCAAACTCTACCCAGACAGTCGCTTGATGGTAGAATGGAACTTGGTTCCCCGGGTATTGTGAGGTAGCAGTGCTAAGCACTGACCCACCATCCCTTTTTGAGGAATTCTAGTGCAAAATTGGAAATCTTAATTACCCCAAAAGGTTTTAAAAAGCGATTTGAACATCTGGTAATAGAATAGCTTATAGAATAGCACATCAATATTTCACATTTAAAAATTTTTTTGAATCAAATGACTGAAAACACTTTTCCATTTTGTAGGCAACTTATACTTTAGAACAATTTAGTTAATCTGTAATGATACACCCCTGGAATCTCTTCAAAATCTATAATTAAATGTTCTAATAATGACCACGAAGCTATTCTCAATTGTGGTAAAAACGCGTCTGGTCATTAATGCTCTTTGGGAAGGTAATCTGCCATCCTTTTCTGGTCTGGTCCAGGTGTCACTCCAAAGCCACAGCAATGTGGTTAATTCTTAACTGCCCTGTGAAATGACTGAGAAAATCATTCTCAGTTGTATCAACCGCAGGAAAATCTCAAAGAACAAAGGACAGTACAGCATAGGAAAAGGCTCTTCAGCCCACCAAGCCTGTGCCGACACATGATGCCTTTTGAAACTAAAAAGTTTTTGCCTTTACATTGTCTGTACCTCTCTGTTCCTTGCCCATGCATATAGCTGTCAAGATGCCTCTTAAACGTTGCTATTGTATCTGCCTTCACCACCTCCTCTGGCAGCACATTCCAGCCACTTACCACCCTCTGTGTAAAACCAAACCGTCTCTCACATCTCCTTTAAGCTTACCACTTTTACCCTAAACTTATGTCCCCTAATAATTGGCATTACTACCACAGGGAAAAAGACTCCACAATCTATCCACATAATCTGTTCTTCTTTCACCTGCTAGCTGTTGGGGGGCCTATATCCCATCAAGTGATTGCAGCGTTTCTATTCCTGACCTCTACCAATATGGCCTCGCTGGATAAGCCTTCCAAGGTGTCCTCCCTCAGGACAGCTGTGATATTCTCCCTATCAGTAATACAACAGCCCCACCTCTTTTACATTCCTTTCTATCGCAACTGAAAAATCTAAATCCCAGAACATTAAGCTGCCAGGCTTATCCTTCTCTCAATCAAGTCTCTGTAATAGCTGCACCATCATAGTTATCTGTATTAATCCAAGCTCTAAGTTCATCAGCTTTACCCTGACATACTGCTCACAGTAAAACAAATACACCTCAGACCGACAGTCCTGCTGTGTTCAGTAACCTCTCCCTGTCTGTTCTTCTTCAGGTCTTATTGGCCTTAGTCTGTAACACCTCCTTGACCATTTTTCTTGCTGACCTACTGCTCTGCTTCCCACCCCTGTCACACTAGGTTAAACTTCCCGAGTGACACTAGCAAACCTCCATGCTGGGATATTGGTGCTGCTTCAGTCGTTCTTCTACAGGCCCCTCCTTCCCTGGAAGAGATGCCAATGTTCCAGATAACTGAAGCCCTCCCCACTACAGCAGCTGTTTAGCCACATATTTAACTGTGCAGTCTTCCTACTCGTAGCTTCACTGGCACACTGCACAGGGAGAAATCCTGAGATTACAACCCTAGAGGTCCTGCTTCTCAACTCCTTACCTAACTCCCTGAACTCCTTTTGTAACACCTTATGTTTCTTTCTGCCTATGTCGTTAGTACCAACATGGATCATGACCTCTGACAGCTCACTCTCCCCTTTCAGAATATCCTCTGCCCACTCAGAGACATCCTTTACCCTGGCATCAGGGAGGCAACACAACTTCCTGGAGTCTCGCTTGTGGCCACAGGAACACCTATCTGTGCCCTGACTATAGAGTCCCCTAAGCTGCCCCTCACCTACACTTCGACCCTCCCTGTTCTATAAAAGTGTCAATGTGGTGCCACCGATCTGGCTGCTGCTCCTGCTTTCCCCTGAGAGGCCATTTTCCCCCCAACAATATCCAACACCATATCCCTGTTTGAGGGGGAATGGCCAGTGGGTCTCCTGCACTGCCTGCCCACACTCACTCATCTTCCTGGTGTTTAGCCAACTTTTCTCTGTCTGTGTAACCCTTACTGGTGGTGTGACTGATTCACTAAACATGCTATCCATGACGTTCTCAGCCTCAGGGATGCTCCACCATGAGTCCATCACAGCTCCAGGTGCTCCATGTGGTAAATCAGGAGCTACAACTAAACACACTTCCTACATACGTAGTCACTGTTGTCCATTGTCAATTGTTGGAAAAACTCATCTGGTTCACTAATGTCCTTTATGGAGGGAAACTGCCTTCCTTATCTGGTCTGTCCTACATGTGGCTCCAGGCCCACAGCAATGTCGTTGACTCTTAACTGCTCTCTGGGTAATTAGGGATGGGCAATAAATGCTGCCTGGCCAGCGATGCCCTCATCCTGTGCAAGAATAAGAAAAAAACATGGAGATTGGAAGTGTCAGAGACAGTAAGATCTGCCGATGCTGGAGTCTGAGATAACACAGTGTGGAGCTGGAGGAACACAGCAGGCCAGGCAGCATCAGAGGAGCAGGAAAGCTGACGTTTCGGGTTGGGACCCTTCTTCAGAATATCTCAGATATCCCAGAATAGACTGGCATCCATGGGCAGTGTAAAAGACCATCATGCACCTGGACAAGCTCTGTCAGTCTGGAGCTGTCTTTCCCAGTTCCTGACATTTACCCAGCAAACAAAGAGAAATCAGTGCCCTGCTTTATGGGCATACACCTGGTAGAGTGCACAGTGCAGAGGTGGGGGTGACCTCTTTCTCCAGGACTAGGAGTGGGGGGCCACAACATCGGACCATGCCCAGCCTCCTCCCCCTGAGGTTGCCACCTGGGTCCATGCATTCTCAGTGGTCTGTAAGAAGTAGTGTAGGAAGAACGTCAATGACCATGGATACTCCTCCTGCATTATGCGGGTGCAGCAAGCTATCAGGAAGGCTAATAGAATGTTTTTCACAGGATGAGGCCATCCAGCATTTATTGCCCATCCCTAATTGTACATCAGGCAGTGAAGAGTCAATCACA